CTATGGAGTTCAGGCTGGACTTGAACTCACTTGGTAGCTGATGCTGGTCTGAAACTTACAATGATCCTCCTGCCTCAGCCTAAGGACACAGATTCTTAACCATAGAAATTCCACAAAATCTAAGATGAGAAGAACAAGATGCCGTCCCGCAGGTGGGCCCCCCTGAGCGTCCCCTGCTTCCTTTACTTGGGGGACATCCTCAGCTGGGCCCGATGAGGACATTTCTGTTGGTGACAGTGCACCCCGTTTCCCCTTCTCCACGGCAGTGTTTCAGGGAGACCCCTGACGCATCGAATTCACGGCTCCCCGGAGCAAGTCAGACTGCAGCGTTTGGGCAGTGCTTGAGCTGAGTTCTCACGGCCCTTCGCCAGCCGGCAGGGCGGGGTGTGGAGGGACCGGGAGATGACAGGGGTGAGTCACACTGTGCACTGCCTGGGCCACCAGCCCCGGGCGCGAGGGGACAAGCCACGAACGGGCAGGTAACCGTCAGCCTCTCTCTAGTTTTCTGGCCACGTCGAGCCCAGTTGGTCGTGGTTCTCTCACCACGTCCCAGGACACGGGGCAAGCCCCTTCCTTGGCCTCCTGGCTGGCTCCAGGGCCCTGTTGGGGCACAGCACTCGCCCAGGAAATGGGCACCGGCGCTTGAGTCTGGGCCAGGGCTGGGATGGGAGACGCCAACAGAAACACAGAAGCCCCGGCCTTTGCAGTCGTTCCCGGCCTGGAGCAGAGTGGCTGCAAACCCATGCGGCACCGACCTGCTCCCTGCGGTGCCCTCGGGGACATCACACTCCAGGGAGCCAGAGGACCCGGGTCTGGGACTGGACAGAGGTTCCCCAGATGTGCAGGAAGGCTCCCGCGAGCGGTGGGAAGGGGCCCCTGACTCCCTCACTCGCTCCGCGCACACCCTGCGCGCCTCCGTCCGCGGAAGGCAGGACCACCCCCGCCGCAGGAGGCTCTCGGGCAACCAAGGCCGGGTCCGCGTCCTGTGGCCGCGTGTCGGTTGGGTGGACGGTTGGACGTGGACGCGGCCGCCTGCTGCAGGCCAGGCGCTGGCTTCAGACGCGTGGGAGGACAGCAGGAGAGCAGGGCGGGGATGCCACCCGCGGGTCCGACACATCAGGGTGGCAGAGGGAAGATAAAGAAATGGGGACAAGGAGGCCAGGGCCGAGGCAAGGCTCGAGGTCCACGAAGCCCGAGAGGTGCTGAGGGACACTCGGTGGCGAGAGCAAGGGTTCCCAGCAGCTCTTGGGTGGTGGGGTCACAGGCAGGCGCCCCCGCACCCGTCTCTCCTTCCGTCAGCTCTTTGTGGAGCTGGTCCACCTCTCCTCTCACTCTCCGTGGCCTGTATTCTTCAGCTGCCACTAAATCGGCTGAAGACGTAGACGACGTTGTGTATTTAGCTGACGCCGAAGAGTGGGAAGAGACACGCTGACCGTCTAGCAGGGGACGTCGGTGGCGGCTGGAGTGCAGCTGCTTTTAAGCACAAGAGTCACTTTTTCATACGCGCTTTCCCCGAGGAGGACAACAGGCAGACCGCTGTGGGCAGCCAACAATAGGCACAGGTGCGCGCCACGCAGAGCCGAGCTCCAGGTGCCCGCGCCTGGGGGTGCCCGCCCTCCCCTCCGCTGGTCTGCACGGCAGCGGTGAGATGGGGCCAACAAGGCGGGAGCTGCCCTTACCCTTCTCAGAAATGAGGCAGAGCCCAGCGACTCCGGCCGAGCTGGAGTCCGAGCGGGAGCCCATCCTCGCGTGTGTCCCGATGGTGCCAGGGCTCCGCTGCCAGCCTGGCTTGCCTGCCGTCCTGCCCTCCTGCTCTGCTCTCCCACGCTTCCTCCCGTGACTGCTGGAGCTCTGGCCGGGTCACCTCCCGCACTGCTGTGCGACACCCTCCGACCTGTCCCCTCCTGTGCAGCGGACACCTGAGGCAGGAAGTGGGTGAGTCCTTGGACAGGAAGTGACCAGAGGAGGGGTACTGTGTGTGTCAGCAATTACCGAGCACTGGGGGACGGGGCTCGGGGCTGCGGAAATGCCCTAAATGTGGTCATAGCCATGGTCATGGTCATGGCACTACACCTCTTCCATTACGGTGTACCTTTGTGAATTATGTCATGTGACTCTGTCTCAATAAAGCTATTAAAAGAAAGAGGCAAACAAAAGCTCAAAAATGAGAGCAGAACAGTCTCTAAACTCAGGTCACCCTGTTGCTCGTCAGTGTGTGGGTGGACCCAGTTTCTCGGTGTGCTGGGGAGACTCCCAGTCCAGAGTCGTGGCTTGGCTCTCCGAACCCGGCTCGGATGTCACCAAACCCCTGCGGGGGCCAGGATGGCTGGGAGCTGGGGTCTGGTCGCTGCGGGTGAAAGCTTGCGGCGGTCAGAGCGCAAAGCATGACGGACAGCAGCAACTCTTCGGTCGGACCAAGGAGAAGACTGAAAGATGAGCGGAAGGTAAATGACTCTGTTCCCTCCCCGAGCCGTGCACCCTTCCGTCCGCCCTCCAGCCGTCCATGGACCATCGCCTGTGTGTCCCCCGGCCAGGCGAGGGGTCTCAGCCTGGCTCTTGGACTTCACTGGTGGACCCCAGGCACGGTGGTCTCGTGTGTGCTGGCGCCAGGCCTTTGAGAAGCTCCTCGAAGACCCCGGTGGCAGCGGACTCCATGGTCGCAGGGAAGGAGGCCGCCGCAGTGGGGTGCACGGGGTGGACAGGGGCTCCCGAAGGCGGCCAGCGGGAAACAAGACGCTCGGTGGCAGCGGGTGGGGGAGGTCATGCGGCGGGGGCGCCGAAGACCCGGACTGTGAGTGGACTCGGCCTTGGAGGTCCATGGGGACAGCGTTCTGGGTGAGAGCGCGCGTGCTGTGCCGTGGTCTGTGTGGTGTGTGTGTGCACTGTGAGCATGTGTGCATGTGTGTGCATCCGGGTGTGTGTGTGTGGTGTTGAGTTACAAGGGACAGCCACTTGTGCAGACGTGTTAGGAAGGGTGGTGGCTGGGGTGGGACATCCTCTGCTGCTCCTCCTCAGAGTCCTTCCCAATGGACAGAGTCACCCCTGCACCTTCTCCAAGGAAAAACAGTGAGAGTAACGGCCTGGTGTCTCTGTGGACCTGGGTACAGCACTCCGGGTATAGCATGCTGAAATTCTGTGCAGCTCACAGCAGCGAAACCTTGGAAGCGATTGATATGTCCACCAACAGATGAACGGGTAAAGTGGATGTGGTATTTGCACACAGTGGAGTACTATGCTGCCATGAAGAAGGACACACTGGAGTCCTCTGTAGGAAAATGGATGCACCTGGAGACCATGTTCAATGAAATAAATCAGACACACAAGCTTAACTATTTCATGAAAACCCAAATATAAATAAAGCACAAAATAAAAAGATTTAGGAAACAGAGAAAGAGATCTTTTGCAAATGGGGAGGTGGCCTGGGGGGAGGCTGAGGAGAAGGCACTGGATGTAAAGAGTGAAGGTGTGCTGTGCTGAGTACTGACTCCCACGAGGAATGCATTCGATAATCCCTAGGTATAGCAAATGTGCACCAAGAAAAATAAAAATGAAAGGATTCTGTGATGCTGGCAGTGGGTCCCGGCCCCGCTGCCTCACCAGGCCGGCTGGGTTGGGGCTGTGCCAGAAGGAGCTGGCTCAGTGCCGATGTGTGTGTGGCCCCCTAGCGGCAGGGCCGTGCCTGCTACAGTGTCCTTCCCAGCCGCAGGTAAGGTATGAAATGTAGGTGGTTAGAAGCAATGTAGCCAGCTCCACGTGGCAGCGCACACCCATCATCCCCGCACTCTGGCAGGCTGAGGCAGGAGGGTGCCAAGTTTGAGCCCAGGCTGGGCAACTTAGCAGCTTAGTCCCTGTTTCAAAATAAAAAAACTAAAAAGGGCTGGGGATGTAGCTTCTTGTGAAGGCCCTCGGTTCAATCCCCAGGACCAGGATAAAAAATGAAAAAACAAAAACTAATCAGTAATTTCAAGATATCTGTGGATATGAATGATGAAAAAGGTATATCAAAGCAGTTCCTAACACTTTCATAATTGGTTAAATTAAATTACTACTTTCATAATGTAATTTCAAAAAATTAAAATAATTCTACTGTTGTTTTACAGTAACGGTTATTATTCAGTTAAGGCGATTCACTCAAGAGAGGTTGGTGACCCAGGGCTGTGGCCTGGCTCCGGGCTAAGAGGACCTAGATTTCACCTCTTGGTTGGGAAATACTTTTTTCAAGCCTCTATTTCTTTAATGGGTGAAGACGCCCCAGCAGCGCCAGGGCACTGTTGGTGAGGCCGCGTGACAGAATGAATGCGCAAAGGTTTGTTGACTGCAGCGTTGATGGTAGCCTTCCCAAGAGCAGGAGGAACCGGCATGCCTGCTCTAGTGTAACCTGGAAGTGCTGTGGCCCAGCGGCCTCCGTCTGGTCTTGGTCTGGCTCTGAGCAGCCTGGCCCCGGCTCCGGCGGTGCGCGGTGAGGCAGCAGGGCCCGGGGTCCTTGGGTTGGGCCTTTCTTTGCAGGTGCGGAGCTGGGTCAAAGGCTGGTGCTGGGTTTGCGCTCTGGCTACAGTTTAACAGGTTTCAAGCCCCGGGCGTTTGCCACTGACCCGGGAACGGAAGCCGAGGTCCCTGG